AGATGGGACAAACGACGCAGTGTTACAACACGGAGACGACGCAGTGTTACAACTCTTCAGGGTCGTCCAGAGACAACACAGTGTCACAACTCTTCAGGGTCTTCAGGGTCATCTGGAGACAACGTGGTGTTAAAACTCTTCAGGGTCTTCAGGGTCTTCTGGAGATGACGTGGTATTACAACTCTTCAGGGTCTTCAGGGTCGTCTGTCAAATACATGCTGGTGGGCAGTGACTGGTTGAATGAAAGATTGTAAAAGGTGGGTTATGATTGGTTGCTTTTGTGGACCAATCATGAGATGCCAGATATGCAAATCTGAGGGATTCTAAGCTCACCAATTTGCTATGGTAAGTGGCCAATCAGAGCACAGTTTTGAAGGTGAGGTTTTTGAAGGGGAACCAATCATGGCCTTTATGGGAAGTGGCCAATCAGAGTATGGTTTTGAAGATGAGGTTTTTAAACAGGAGCCAATCATGGCCTTTGGCATTGTGTAATTGTTTGCTCTCTGAGAAACCGGCGATGTTCCCTGGTGCCCAACCTCCCACATACCCCCCTTCTCTGTTTTAATTTGAGAGATGAGGAAAAGGCCTGGGGGAATTGTACCTGTCTTAGGTTGGAGTCGTTTATGGAACCATATGTCCATTCTTACCCATCATTGGAGAGTCCCATAGCTATGATGGGCTTCCTGTCTTAGGTGGAAGGACTGAACAGTTATTGGGTTCATCAGACTCTCTTGCCCATCTTTGGCTAACCAATTCAGTGCCTCAGGTGAGACCAGTATAGGGGTGTTGGTCTTCCATCTCCAATCTAGTATAGTGGACCTGGATAGGCCACATAGTAAGTGAGTCAATTTGTTGTTTGAGGAATGACATGAGCCCATTAAATATAACAGTTCCCAGTGAGCAAACAATTAAAAGGCTAATGAATGGGCCAAGTAGGGGGAGCAGGAAAAGGAGGAGACCATTCCAGGCAGGACCATCAGCGAGTTGTTTTCTACGTCGTTGGAGAGATTCTTGGAGTTGATGTATTTTGTAAAAGCAGCAGCATTCCTGTAAAGCAAGACAGAGACACCCCCACCCCGGTTCTGCCAGGAGGAGATTTAAACCTCATCTATTTTGAAGAACCACCTCAGCCAGGGAATCTAGTTGGTCTGAGATAAGACCCTCAGTGACTTGGCATAGATGGAGAGAATAACCCAAGCCAGTGGAGCCAGCAGCTGTATCTGTGGTGATACTCAGGGTGGCCAGAATGGGAACAAATTGTATAGCACGTTTGGATCTTCCTGTGATTTGCCAATCAGATGGTGTGAGTCAGCCCTCGGTGATAGCTTTAACTATAGCTAATGTATATGGAGCAGAAGCTCCATATTGGGTGACTGCTGCCTTAATTTCTTTTACCATTTTAAAGTCAAACCCTCTGTGACAGCGCCAAACCTGTCCTTGGGGATCTGTACTTTCTGTAACAGGGAATGTCTCAAAGTTTGTCGTATGTGATTCCTGAATTAGTTTTGTTTCTTTGTCTTTATTGGTTTTCAGTTTCTCTAATTGTGATACACAAGGTATCTACATGGATAATATTAAACCCACAATGTAGAAAGTGCTATATGTTATGTAGACTCTTCTGCTATATCTCTGCATTAGTAATAACACACATATGCAGTGGAATAAGTTTGATGATAAACATATAACCACCGCAAGCAGAGACCATATAGAAATATGATAAACAGCAGCACATTGTCCAAAAAACTGACTCAGTTTTTACTGATTTTACCCACCAGTAGTATGTGAACTGAAGTGCAAAAACAGCAATGCCTTCATTATCAAAGGATCCAGCTACTGACCGAGATATATAACCTGGTACAATTGCAATAAAACAAGCAGCTAAAAGTCCTGCTCCTTGGTTCCAAAGTATTAGATCCCGGTGTTCTTTTTCTAATCAAATTAGTTCTTTTAATTGTTTTATTTTATTAATTATATTTATTTTGGGTAAATAAAAGGCAGTGCTGAGGCGGTAGTGTTATAGGGTAACAGCCGTTTTTTGAAGGGTGACCATTGGAGATTATTATATTTGTCAGCCTCGGTCTCTAGGATTTTCTCCTCTGAACTAGTTGATGACTTGTTTTTCTTTGGCTCTTATAGAGCCTTAACGTTGTTTTTCTTTTTTAGTTTTTTTGGATTTTTGTGTTTTATCTCGCCTTCAGGGCTTTTAACTTCTTCCTCACTATCTAGGGAAATAAGATCCTCTCCCTGTTCTTTTTCAATTTTAGAATCCTTGGTTAGATCGACCATAGTGGCAAGGGCTTCTTTTAAGCCCTGAACAAATAGTTCGTCCTGACTAAGCTCTTGTCCCATTATTACCCTTATTACTTATGAGTAAGCGACTTTTGTTACTTACCGGGACGTTTCTCTGCTGTCCTCCTCTGTGGCCTTTCTCAGGATGATTCTCTGCCATACTTTCTCAGGACGATTCTTTGTCATCCCCTCCTGAACGATTTTCTGCCATCCTTTCTCTGGACGATTCTCTGCCATCCCCTCCTGGACAATTCTCTGCTGTCCTTTCTCAGGATGATTCTCTGCCGTCCTTTCTTGGGAGGATTCTCTGCCGTCCCCTTCTGTTTTTTGCCACGGCATTTCTTTTTATTTCAGTGCTCAGGACAATTCTCTTCTGTCCTCTTCTCAGGTGATCTTCACTGGATCCTTTGTGGTCAGGGTCCCTGTTCGGGCGCCACATGTCCCGACTCCGGGGGACAGTAGAACAGGTTTCCTGAGGGAAGGAATGAGAGGCGGGATGAACGACACAGTGTTATAACATGGAGATGATGCAGTGTTACAACTCTTCAGGGTCATCCGTTTATTGTGGGCAGCACAGAGATGACACAGTGTTATAACTCTTCAGGGTTGTCTGGAGACAACACAGTGTCACAGCTCTTCAGGGTCTTCAGGATCATCTGGAGACGACGTGGTGTTACAACTCTTCAGAGTCTTCAGGGTCTTCTGGAGACGACGCAGTGTTACAACTCTTCAGGGTCTTCAGGGTCTTTTATCGATTGTGGGCCAGGGATCATGGTTATATACATGCTGGTGAGCAATGATTGGTTGAATGAAGGATTGTAAAAGGTGGGTTATGATTGGTTGCTTTTGTGGACAATCAAGAGGTGCCGGATATGCAAGCCTGAGGGATTCTAAGCTCACTGATTTGCTATGGGAAGTGGCCAATCAGAGCATGGCTTTGAAGGTGTGGTTTTTGAAGGAGAGCCAATCATGGCCTTTGGCATTGTGTAATTGTTTGCTCTCTGAGAAACCAGGGATATTCACTGGTGCACAGCCTCCCACAGTTCTTAAATATATAAAAAGATATTTGAGGCCTCTTTTTTTAAGAGATTTTTGCTATCACCTTCAAGAGGTATTGACATGCCCCAATCCCTTCTCCATTCTCCTCTTGTGATTTTGGACATACACAAAACACACCCCATGTGAGTTTTTAACCTGCCAAATCCAAGACTCAAACCATGGTTGACTACGTGGGAGTCCCACATCGTAACCATTACAACACCTTGTGATCCCAAATATTCTTGGCTTTTAATCCCACCTAATAGATGTGATTCTTCATCTCCAGTTCCTATACTCAGTTTCTGTTACTCTACCAACAGTCTTAAAATACATGTGCAAATGATGCTGGACATAGCTGAAAATCACTTTGAGCCCTTTTCCTCTAATATGAATAGAACAGTTCTCCAAGTTATACCAAAGACTGAAAGCCTCCAAATTTTATTTTAAGTTAGTGAAACATGGAAGTCACTGCTAAAAAAATAAAAAATCTGTACAGTTTGGTTCATTGTTCTTTGGATTGAGATGCATGTGCTGTGAATCAGGCAGTGCTCCTCACCAAAAAGAAGTATTCAAACAGTAAAAAAAACTAATGGGGGAACCAGCAGTTAGCATAATGGCTATGTCGTTGTACTCCCACGTAGTCAACCGCAGTTCACGTCCTGGACCCAGTGGCTTAAAACTCATGCCGGGCGCGTGTGCATGCGTGCCCAAAATCCTGAGAGGAGAATGGAGGAGAAGGGATTGCAACTTGACCATCCCCCCTGGGGGGGTGATTTCTTCCTTTCTGTCTCTATGTCTCTCTGTCTGGCTGGCGAGCGCACACACCCTATAGTGAAAATCTCTCCAAAAACAAAAAAAAAAAACTAATGGAAAGTGTTTTGCTTTTGTAAAGGATATCCATTCTTAGAAAAAGGCTATATGAAAGTAATAATGCTTATTTTAACTAACCCGTAAGGGTTGCGCATGCATATAGTTACTGGGGTCAAACTGGGTAATAGCTGGCACAGCTAGAGGATCTTCAGGGCTCAGTTTCTCACAGTACAAGTGAAAGAGTTACATGTCAAGTAGCTGTTCTGGTTCAAGAAAACTGAAAACTATGACCTGCATTATCCTAATTCATGAAGCCAATGCAATACTTTGAGGCTAAAATTATTCATTGTCTAAACTTTAAATTTACATTTTTTTAAACTTCAAAATCTGCATTTGTACAAAATAGACTACAGTTGGGGTTACTTTGTAAGTCATCAAAGATGGTAAGGAGGCCAAAACAGTCCACCTCCAAATTAAATTTTAGCCATACTTTCCAAGTAATTGATTCCTGTTTGAAATTCCTAGTCAACAGCTCAGATTGATGAATCCAAAATATACAGGGCTTAAAATGAGAAAGATTATGCAAATCCAAGAAATCAAATCCATTTCCATTTGCATCTTAGAGCCTCTCAATCATGACTGCACAAAAAGGAAAATTACTGGCTCCAATCTGTGAAGTATTTAGGCAGCTCTGCCCCAGAACAAACCTGGCTATCTTCTTGAACTGGATCACAGCTGATAAAGAGGTGAGATAAAGACAACAGCGGCATGGCCTAGGTGGCAGACTTATACGCCATTCTTCTCTGGTCAACTGAAAGTCAATTCATCATCAGTGATATTCAAAATCAGACCTCTCTGCTAGCATGTCAAGGGCAACAGAAACAATATACATTATTTTGATAGTTGGCCAATTAACTATAGGTATTTGGGGAAATGTATTCATTGTGCTAATCAACTGCATTGGCTTGTTCAAGAGGAAAGATATCACCTTGATTGACATCATCCTGATCATCTTGGCCATCTCCAGAATCTGTGTGTTGTGTGTAGTAACTTTTGATGGTTTCATCCTAGTGTTCTCTCCAGAAAAATATGAGAGTGATACGCTAGTGAATATGGTGGATGTTGTCTGGACATTTTCCAGTAATACAAGTGTCTGGTTTACTTCCTGCCTCAGCATCTTCTATTTACTCAAGATAGCAAATTTATCTCACCCATTTTTCCTCTGGCTAAAGTTAAAGATAAACAGAGTTATTCTTGGGATTCTTCTGGTTTCCGTTTTCATCTCCTTAATTATTAGTGTCTCAATGAATGATGATATGTGGTATCACCTCTTCAAGGCCAGTCATGAAAACATTACTTCCTCAAGTAATTTTTCCAAAATGAGTAAAACCCCAAATACTATGAAACAGATTAGTATGAACCTGGGGGCTTCTGTCCCTTTTATTCTTTGCCTTATCTCATTATTCCTGTTACTTTTCTCCTTATTTAGACACACCAAGCAAATGAAACTTCATGCCACAGGGTCAAGAGACCCGAGCACTGAAGCTCACATGAGGGCCATAAAGGCAGTGGCCATCTTTCTGCTCCTCTTCGTCGTGTACTATGTGGTCCTTTTTATACTAACCTTAAACTTTCTATTTTCCCAGAAAAACTTAGTGATTATGATTGGTGGCATAATAGCTGTCATTTTCCCATCAAGTCATTCATTTGTCCTGATAATGGGGAACGACAAGCTGAGGAAAGCTTTTCTGAGGGTGTTAAGGTTTCTGAAGGGTTTTCACAAAGGAAGGAAGCCCTCTGATCTAGAGACCCCAAGAGAGTATTTTGCATAGAAGGAGAAGAAAAATTAACCAAAGACCCATGTTCCTTCTCCTACATGTTTGCATTTATTTTTCCTTATCTATCATTAATAGCTATCATTATTCTAAGAACTTTTTATGATCCTTCACATTTCTGTCTTGCTTAGTTTTGAATTTAATATTATCATCATATTACATGATTATTTCTTTATCTTTGCAGAAAAAAATGGATCTAAATCTTGCATTAATATTTTATGTCATTGATTAAATGTGAAGCAGTTTCATTTCTTTCCACCATGTACCAGCAAAAGCCTTGACCTCACTGAGTAGAATTTCAGATAGAGGTTGTGGAGAAAAGATCATAGTACCCATCAATCCTTCCTATAAAATCAATCATGTAAAACTGTCTTCTTTGAACCAAGGTCAGTCCTTAATTAATTGCCCTGTCCCTTCTATTTCTGGAAAGGTTCGTATTGATCAGAAGAAGGAAAACAACAGTCTTCAGTGTGATTCTGCCTATGATGATGTAAGATGTAGGAAAAAAGTGTGACCCCAAAAATGAAGGTTTGATCAGGGAAGGAGTTTGGGTACAGTTAGGAATGCCTATAATAGAACCATCTTGAGCAAGATGGTTGGAATACTTTCAGGATTTTTTTTTTTTTGAGGATTTTGCCATAGAGCTTGTAAACATACAAGAGAGAAATAGACAGAGACAGAGAGAGGGAAAGTGAGAAATCAATCCCTGGGGGAATGGCCATGCCACAATCCCTTCTCCACTGTCTTTTCAGGTTTGGGAACATACACATACATGTGCCCAGTGTGCTTTTCAAGCCACTGGATCTGGGACTCATACCATCCTTAGACATGTGAAATCAAAAGTCTTGACCACTATTACCACTTGATACTCCCTCTTAAGGTTGTATAATCAGAAACCCTAGCTATAAAAGCTTTAGAAGTGCATCTTCAATGATTTCTTGGAAGTTCCCTATACCCTTCTAACTCAAGAAATCTTGACAAGTTTTGTTGCTTAGTGTCATTGTCTTTTCTATTTTTTTCCTAGTAATATTTATAGATAACAGGTTTATTTACATTATTCATTCATGCTTTCCTATTATGCATTATATACATATAAAGTATAGGAGAAATACTACATATGTTTTTTATGCTATTAAGCTATTTAAGTACAAGGAACAGAATCCTAGTTCATTAAAATTTGTATTGCCTATCTTCAGAGGTATTGTGGACTAAGCCATGTTTTCTGTGCAAATAATTAATCTGATTGGATAGTAGAATTAGTCCTATTTCCTGGAATAATGTTTGATTAAAAAATAAAAAAAACTTTGGGAACCAGCAGTTAGCGTAATGGCTATGTCGCTGGACTCCCACGTAGTCGACCGCGGTTCGTGTCCCGGACCCGGTGGCTTAAAACTCACGCCGGGCGCGTGTGCGTGCGTGCCCAAGATCCCGAGAGGAGAATGGAGGAGAAGGGATTGCGGCGTGACCATCCCCCCTGGGGGGTGATTTCTCGCTTTCTGTCTCTATGTCTCTCTCTGTCTGTCTGGCGAGCGCACGCGCCCTACAGTGAAAATCTCTCCAAAAAAATAAAAAATAAAAAAATTAAAAAAATTAAAAAAAATAAAATAAAATAAAAAAAACTTTTACATGATTGCCCCATCTAACAAAAGTGAGTATAATGTGCCTTGTAAGATCATAAATCTCATAAAAATAAGTTGATTGGAATTAGAATAAAGCATGAGTTTCTTACATTTTAAATGAACATGCTTTTTTCCCAAATACAATATTTCAGGAAGTGAATTGTTCTAAGGTTCTTTCTCATGTTAAATAAAAGTAAATATAGCAAATCATTTTTATTTAGAGAAGTTTTTGCTATAAGGCATGTGCACTCACCAGAGAGACAGAGACAGAAAACTAGAAATAGCCCCCACTCCACCCCAGGAAGAATAGCCACACCGCAATACCTTCTCCTCCAGTTTTGTCTCAGGACTTTGGGCATGCACACATACAAGCCCAGAGTGAGTCTTAAGTTGCCGGGTCCAGGACTCGAACCAAGGTCAACTACGTGGGAGTCAAGCAACATAATCATTATGCCATCTGCTGGTCGCTAAAACAGAAAATCTTTACTTAACATCTTTCATTTTAAATAAACTGGACAGAGAGAAAATTCATTGTAAATTTTGCTATGTGCCTGCCTAATAATGTTATGTCATTTATAATCAGCCCTGCATCATAACTGTCACTGAGTAACCATTTAAATGAGGATAAAAATATCCTATGAATATTAACTCTCTATAATCTAGAGATTATATAGAGCAAGAAGTTCATTACAAATTCATAAAATAAAATCTCTAAGTTTTCATGAAAATAGCTTCAGCCAAACAATTCACTTGTCATTCACTATAAGGTAACAATTATAATTTTGCCAGGATATAAATAACTAAGCAAGCTATTTGGAGTAATTAGTGGGTTTGGTCTTCAGGAATACAGAAATGATCTTTTTTGGGAGAGCTGAGAACTTCTGGAATGATATCAAAATAATGACAGATGAAAACATTGTATGATTTGAAGAATTTATCATATTACAACCAGCCATTTGAAAATGAGTTCATCTGCCATGGTATTTAAAATCAGAGTGTTCTTTCTAGTAACACGTTGAATACCAAAGCTATTTTCATGATCATAGTAAATATAGAATTCTTAATAAGAATGTTGGGGAATGGATACATTAGACTGGTCAACTGGATTGACTGGATTAAGAAGAAAAAGATCTCTTCAATTGACTACATCCTCAACAATGTAGCTAACTCCAGAATTTGTTTGATTGATGCAATGGTATTAAATGGCATTATTGTAATACTCTATCCAAATATTTATGAACATAATAAGCTAAGGATAGTCATTTTTACCCTCTAGACACTTACCAACCATTTAAGTACTTGGTTTGCACTTGCCTCAATGTCTTCTATTCCCTAAAGATAGCCAGTTTTTCCCACCCACTCTTTCTCTGGTGAAGTGGAGAATTGACGGTTCACTGGATACTTCTGGGGTGTTTTGCTATTTCCTTGGTGGTCAATTTTATACTAGTAAAGGTTCTGTTTTGTGATTATGAATTTCTTCACATTTCAAAACATAAAGAAAATGGCACATATATGTCCCATGAGAGTACATTTCAATACTTCAAACCATTGATTCTTTTTCACCTTTCTCTACTGCTCCCATTTAATGTGTCAAATGATCTCACTTTTCCTTTTGATAATGTCCCTGTGGAGACATACTAAGCAAATGAAACTCTATGCTACAAGCTTTAAAGATCCCAGCACAGAGACACATGTGAAAGATGAGACTGTGATTTCATTTACTCTTCCTCCCTCTTATGTACGATTTGATTTCTCTTTTGGTAACTTACAGTTATCTTATAAGAGAAAACATGTTACGTATAATTTTTGGAGAGATTGTAGCAATTCTCTATCCCTTAGGCCATTCACTTATTTTAATTATTGGAAATAACAAATTGAGGCAGACATTTGTCAAGATGCTCACATGTAGAAAAATAACCTGCATGATCTAAAAATCTTAGTTTACAAATTCATTTTATCAATTTTTCTTTTTAATGGAAATAAGGTATATTTAAAGTCCTAACTACCTAACATAGTAATAAACACATAATAGAGGTTCTGTAACTACTTTTGAATGTGTAACTTAATATGTAAAATTATAAGTAATATTAAAGTCCACAAATAATTTATCTACAAACACAAAAAATACCTTATTTTCTAAGAACAAATGCCATTTTCTTGTAGGTGTAGTCTCATTTTTCCTGTTATTTCACTTACTTGAAATGCTTGTCTCTTTTTCTTTCTTTCTCTTCCTTCCTTCCTTTCTTTCTTTCTTTCCTTCTTTCTTTTTTTCTTTCTTTCTTTCTCCTTTCTTTCTCTTTCTTCTTTCTTCTTTCTCTCTCTCTCTCTCTTTCTTTCTTTCTTTCTTTCTTTTTTTCTTCTTTCTTTCTTTCATCTTTCTTCCTTTCTTATTTTTAGATTTTTGCCATAATGCAAGTGCACTCACTGGGGAAAGAGAGAGACAGAGAGGGAAAACAAGAAATCACTTACCAGAAGTAATGGACACACCACAACCCAATTTCCCAGGATTTTGGGCATGAATGTACATGCACCCAGCATGGTTTGCATGCTGCCTTTTGTGAGTGAACCACACAGTCAGCCATGTGAGATCTAGAACTTTAACCACCACACCATTTGCTAGCCAGAGATATATATCTTTAAGTGTTATCAGGATCCATTAGCAAACTAATGAATACATCCTATTGTCTCTTTCTAGAAAATTTTGCCAGAGGGCATAAGAGACAGAGAGAAAGATCAGGAAAAAGCATCCCCCAGTGGAGCATGGTCACACTGCAATCCCTTCTCCCTCATTCCTCTGTCCCATCAAGATTTTGAGCACTCATGTTCATGTGCTCAGCATGTTTTTCAGGATTCAAAGTCACGTGGGACTTGGGTCCCTTACTGACCTGGCTGTAGGACCAGCTCTCCTACTTGTCTCTTTACCACAGAGATAGTCTCCTCTCGACACTTCCTTTCATCCAGTAACATCAGAGCTCATGCTTCTCTTTTTGTCTTCTCCATGCAAATGTTAGGCATGTATTGCCCAGTTAAGGTTTTCTTTTGACCCTCGGTAAGCAGCACCAGAGCTATGCTTCCTAGCTTCTTAGCTTTTTCTTTCATATATTTTTACCGTAGGCCCTCACCTGTGCTCTATTCACTTTCTGGTGAATCGCTCCTATTTGATATGTCAATGAGAAAATCAGATCTCCCCGGGCCTGTCTGGTTCCATTTCCTGTGTGGTGCTTTAAGTGGTCTAGATAATAATTTCTGATTGTCCTTATTTTGGCACTTATCATTTGTTTTCCTTGAAATTAGATTTTCTTTCAGATCATTTGGTTTGCATGAAACACCTGAATGAGAATAGTATTCATTCAACATCTCCCCCAAGGGATGTAAGTG